GAAAAAAAAAATCAAAGGAAGACTTGAAAATTTGTAACCATTCGCTACTATGGACAATAAAATTACCTTGGAAGAAATAGGTATTCTTATAATTATGCTCATTTATGTAATGGAAAGATACTCCTTTAAGAATTAAATGTATACATTTCCTTCTCCTATATTTCAGGAAACAAAATTTTCATCAGCTCAGTCCTATTTTTAATATCCTGGTGAAACTTTAAAAAATAATTGCCATGGCAATGTTAGTGACTATAGGAAGAGATGATAAATTGCTTCTTTATATTCTCTATGGTCTTTCTGATTTGGGCGACGACTCACTATACAGAGTGAAAAATTTAGAGCCATCATATTACTGATGGTTCATTTTCAAAAAGTAAACTGTGGCAGCAATCACAAGGAGCCCTTTCATTGGAGGATTTCCCATGACAGCTTATCTTTCGAAGAACATCTTTAATTGTAAGTTTTTAAACTTTTTATTTTGGAAAATTTCATACATTTTGTGTTCATCAACTTTTTGTCACCACAATGAAATATCTAAGATAGGTAAAGTGGTTTACTAAGAGTTTTAGAGCTTTTATGGCCTGGGGTTGTTATTAATAAGCTCAGTTCTGGTGAGGACTATCTTATCTTTATCACATCATGGCTTATGGCAATGGCAGGAGCAAGGGATCATGTGGCAAGAAAGGATGCAAAAAGAGACTACATGGTGTCAGGCTCCAGCTTCTATAACAGTTCTCTTATGAGGACTAACCAGGGTCCCATAAAAAAAATACTTTAATCCCTTTCAAGGGCATGTGGCCAATTTACCTGTGACCTCCCACTCGCTCCTCCTCCTAGATGTACACACCATCTCAACACTGGGGACCAAGCTTCTATCCCATGTACCCTTGGGGGACAAGCCATATCTAAACCTTGTCACATCTTCCAGAGCATAGAAAATATTTCATGAATTTTAGTGTTCTGGTTTATAGCCGTAAGAATTGCCAACTCATTGGCCAGTCTTGTTTCACGTATATTTCTGCTTAATGTTCTGTGAAGTGCAGGACAACCCCACACCAAAGAACTATTCGGCACAAAATGTTCAGAATACTATTGTTTAAAAAACTCTGATTTAAGTCTTTAATTTGTCCTAGCAGTGTTTTTTGGAGTTTTCAATGTAGGGGTACTTCATAATCTTTATTAGATTTAGTTTTAGATAATTAATATTTTAGTGCTATTGTAAAGGGTGATTTTTTTAAAATCTCGTTTTCTAATTGTTGTATGTGTTAAATAGATACGCCCGTGGGTGCACCTATGTGGTGTTGTTTGAGATGTCTCCTCATGAGTGTATTTATGTGTCTGATGTTTGATAGTCTCACTTTAAAGTTTCCTTTTGGTCTCTTTTTCCCTCTTATGATTCTTTATTGTTGAAGAAACTAGGATCTTTATCCTGTAGACTTTTCCACAGCTTAGATTTTTGCTGATTCTGTCACCACGGCAGCATTTAACACATTATATGTCCCTGTCTTTATGTGCATTGCCCATATCTCTGAATTCATTAGGACCTGTGCCACGGTGATTTACTTTTCATTTATGAGCCCAGGATACTTCTATAAAGGGAAACTCTCCCTACCCCCAAACAATTGGTTCCTCTTCGTCCACAGAGTAAAGGCAGGGTAAATGCTTATTCTTGCTCTTTTAAAGGATCTCTTTTAAAAATAATGAGTTGGTTTCCCAGTAGGAAACTAGTGAGTTTTTTAAAAATTAAAAGCGTCATTATGAATGCATGGTTTCAACTTGATATTTCAATTCGTTGCTGTTTTTGTTCTCCAGGGTGATCAAATTATTCCTTATTTGGCTAATGGGAACCTCTTCATGACCCTACTATGTTTTTCAAACTTCCTTAATTTCTGCTATACAAGGACATTTTCAGGCTCTTCTTGAGCCTTTCTTGCCCCTGACTTGGAAGCAGCCATTGCTTCAAGTAAGCCACAGTCCCTTGCTCCGTTACCTGGAGAGGGTGCTCATGTCATGCACAGCACAGCTGGGTGGTCATTGGTTCTGGGCCTTTCAGTGGGCAGATCTAGGATAAATTTATGCTTTCAAAGATTAGGAAAAAAAATACAAGGGGTTTTCATTGATTCTTTCTTTTTTGGACTTTTCAGATTTTTAAATTAACTTCATCCTCTCCCATATGCACAAACTCTTGAATCTCTACATATATAATCCTTGCTTTATTACAAATGAGGCACACAGCAGCCTGAGAGTAAGACTCCCTTATCCAGTTAGAATGTGGTTACCGAAATGAATGGGGCAGGGGCATCTTTTGAGGGTCTGTTTTCAGGAATACTCACGATTGGGGTTTACTATTAGGTTACGACCTTCTACAATATTGGAGTAGTTTCTACTCTGTGTAGTTATGTTACCATTTCATTTACATCAGAAGTGCATTGCATTCATTTCACTTCTGATTTGTAGGAATGGCATGTTAAAGTTTAATTTGGTGTTGTTATTGTGTATCATGATTACATGGTTCCAAAGTTGAATCCACAGACAAGGTAGATATGGGGAAACTTCATTTCTTTGTGTCTTCCCTATTCCCTCCCTCACTCTATAGGAATCCATTTTCAAAACAAGTGTTACCAGTTGTCTCACCATGGCAGGTTCCCAGCATGAGCAATCTTGAAATGAGCTGAATGCCTCTTCCCTCTCCTGACCCTGGCACTGGGTTTTCCATAATCATCCTCATACTTTTGAGGAACGATTTTAGATCTCCAAAACAAATATGTTTCATATAAAGACATCTTAATCAAGATGAAGTAAGTTAACCACTTGAAGTATGTTAAGTTAAAACACCAAGTGAGCCTGGGTGGATGGAGCTGTTCTAACAGCCAGTGCTCCCTGGCCCTACATTCTTCATGCCTGGTGCACCCAGATGCTACGCAGTTTGCAGACAGCATTTCAAGGAGGGGAAATTGTTCTATTGGGCTGGTTTCTACGTTTTCCCCCCGACTTAAATGATAAGATGGTATGTGAAGTAATAAGGGCAAGGTTAGATACTATGAATAATTAATTGCCATGGCTCTCAGAAACCTAATTTTAGTCAAGAACAAGAAGCAAAAGTAGCAACACTAGTTTCAGCTTCTCTCACTTCTCAAGTGGCAGAGTGGCTAACATGGCAAGGAAGGAAGGTGAAGCCAGTTGCCAGCACTGGATTGAAACACATCTGTTCCTCAATAGCAGGGCTCTATCACTTCTTGACTGATTCCTGTCTGCTGAATGCCTACTGTGTTAGGTACCTCAAATACCCCTACCTCCCCACCCCACACAGTCCACTCCAAGAGAAAAAGTGGATGTGCATACCTTTTGTCTCAGTGGCGCTACCTCTAGTAATTTATCCCATGAATGTATTTGGTGTTGCGTACAAAATTATAGGTACAGGATGTCCACTAAGCATATGTGTGCCTGTGCATACGTGGAGAGTCACACCTCCACAATCTAATTTTCTAAGAGGGGATTAACTAAATAAATTGTTACATGCCTTTTATATACTGACCATATATTTGCATAATAAAAAATTAGTAAAATGATTTTTTAAGAAGGCAGTTATAGTGACAACAAATCCTACCATTATGTGAAATTATAATGTACCAATAAAAAAAAAGAAGAAGGCAATTACAGGTTCTTTTTCCTTTTAGTACAATTTATAGAGATATATATTTTGTACTATTTTTTTTAAAATTTGAAGCAGAAAGCTTATATCCTTACATGCTTTTGACTCAATTGGCATTGGTTTGGTTTCATCTTTGACTTATTCTAAAATAGGACGATGAGCATGTAACACAGTGAGGGAATGACTGACTTAGAGAGGCATTCTTGACATTGTTGGATGGTAAGTTGAGTTTGTGAGATCTGATTCTGCGGTAAACTCCTTTGTTCTGCTCTAGAGGTGATACAAATTTTATGTGTGTAAAGTTTGAACAAGTTTTGCTTTTTTTTTTTTTTTTTTACCAGGGATTGAACTCAGGGGCACATGACACTGAGCCACATCCCCAGCCCTATTTTGTATTTTATTTTCAGGCAGAGTCTCACTGAGTTGCTTAGCACCTCACTTTTGCTGAGGCTGGTTTTGAAATTGTGATCCTCCTGCCTCAGCCTTTGAGCTGCTGGGATTCCAGGCGTGTGCCACCTCGCCTGGCTGTTTTGCATTTGAAAAATGAATAATAAGGGGAATGGGAATAGGAAAGACAATAGAATGAATGGGATATAACTTTCCTATGTTCATATATAAATATACTACTAGTGAAACTCCATATCATGTACAACCACATGAATGGGAAGTTATACTCCATGTATGTATAATCCATCAAAATATACTCTACTGTCATGTATAACTAAAAAGAACAAATAAAAAAGTGAATAATAACCACCTTCCTGTGGTCATGATGTTACAGATATCAGGTTGCTTCTATCATCTTTATAGCTACCGTGTCAATTCTTTAATAGCTACAATATTAAAAGCAGTCTCTGTTATAATTTGTTCCTGTTATCTGCTTTACTTTGAAGAATTGGGAACAGATTCTGTCCTGCAGGTAGAGCACTAACCAGTGCATTGCCTCATTGATTTTTTTCATAGGGTGATTTAATCGGCTTGATGACCTTAACTTCAATTCAATTAATGGGATTGTATATCCTATCAGATGTTTTTTTTGTAATAACATAACAATATAACTTATTGCTTTTTATTATTGAAAAAACACATAACAAAATTTATCATCTTTATGATTTTTAATTATATAGCACAGCACTCTTAACAACATAAACATGATTCATTGCTTTAATAAAAAAAAAAAAAAACTTGTTCAACCAGTGTTACAGCTTACCTATGTTCTCAGAGTTCCATGGAAATAGCAATAAATTAGTAGATCAAATTTCACATTTTTAATAAGGGAAGAGGAAGGCTATCAGATGATTTTTAAAATAAAAGTTTACAATAAAAATACTTTTTTTTTTCTTAACAGAAATCATAGCCCACTGATGAGTTTTGGAGCCAGCTTTGTCAGTTTTTTGGTAAGTTGATATCAGAAGAGGTATTGGTATTAAGGAAGCAGTTATAAACTAATGTCTCTTATTGACTACCAGCTGCATAGTATACCATTGTAGAAAATTCTGTAGCATTTAAAACTGAAATCGTTTTTTGCCTATTAACTAACATCTGTAGATAATTTCCCTCATTTTAAAAATAAAATGTTGTATCTTGTAGAGTATTATATTTTTCCCACTCAAAATTATTTTTAGAATAAAAATATAATCGAAAGACCTTCAAAAATTACAAATGTATTGGGACAGGGGGCAGGTCTGCCTCTGGGTAATAAATATTTGCTCTAAAATTATTGAGTGTGCACTAGAAGACAAATTCAATGAGCAAAGATATGAGAATTGAGGGAATAGGTTTTAGTTAGGTTATAATCAGGTGGTATAAGAAAGTGGATGCTTTCTTTTCAGAAATATTCACACAAACTACTTCCAAACACACACGTTTTTCAAAACATCATAGTATTATAAAAGGGGAGTAGGGAGACAGGAGAAGATAACCAGTAGAGACCAGAAGGGAGACAGCATTTAGATTTGAAATTCAGAAAGATGTCACCAAATAGGCATATTATGCCCAGCTTGGTAGTGCCCAGCTATAAGCATGAGGCCATCTCCAGTGTGATGGGGTTTTATTCAGACTATGTAGTTCCTCTTATTATAGATAATGCAACAAAATTTTAGAGCCTTTTCTTGGCACCAATACATAGTTCCACATCTGAAAAAAAATACTGAATGGAGATTGTAACATTAGTACCCAAGTGACTACAAAGGCTGCCACAAAGGCTGAATCAAAGGGAATGAACTGGGTGGTGACGGGGGCAGCAGGGGGACATGGAGTGAACAGGATGGTTGGGAGAAAGAGTGTAACTAGGAAACTTGGACAAAAACAGACCAGGGTCTGTTTTGTCTAGGATGGAAAAATAGGTTCAAGTCATAGTGACAAGGCCTAGAATTTCAAGGTAGGGCTGGGGAATCCGGTGGGGAATGGAGAGCTAGAGACTGTTCATAGGTCCTTCCAAGAACCAGGTCTCCTGCTCCTGTACACACCCATCTCAGAAACATCACTTCCACCCATTCAGATGTGTCTTGACAACATCAGCCAGCATCAGGTGCCTGAAATCCAGCTCTCAGTGGAATTTTTAACTATAGATGATATAAAATGAATGCCTTATAAGGAAACCCACAGGAATTACCCTGGAAAGACTGATGATTTTCAAAGAGCGCCTCTAGTGGTTGTTTCGTTAGCCTTTCTATATAGTACTTACTGGAGGCAGGGGTCTATCTAGAGTAGAATGAACTTTTGAATGAGACTCTATCATAAAAAGTGAATGGAGGGACAGGGCTGTGGCTCAGTGGTAGAGCGCTTGCCTAGCAAGCATGAGGCACTGGATTTGATCCCCTGCACCACATAAAAATAAACAAATAAAATAAAGGTATTGTGTCCATCTACAACTAAAATAATATTTAAAAAAAAAGAAAAAAAAAAATTGAATGGAGTAGACCAATTCGAAATTATACAAAATTTTTGCTGCTGCATTTAATAACAACAGAAATGCAATAGAATGACAATTGCAAGGATGTTCACTACTGTGTGTGTGTGTGTGTGTGTATAAATATATGTGTATATATATATATATATATAATTTTTTTTCATGCTGGTGTAATAGTCATATATTATGTAATATCAAGATTATAGTTTCTTTAAATGAAAGGGTGTGCTGTTACATTTTGATTCTATTACTTGCAACAAATAATTTAAGTGAGGTTTTTTTTTTTTTCCTAGCTTGGAGTATTGTTGAAATAAAGGGGCCTGAAGTTTCAGACACTTACTGATTCATTCATTCTCTCCTTGTTTCTTGGCAGAATGCCATGATGACATTTGAGGAGGAAAAAATGCAGTTGGCGTGTGATGACTTGAAAACCACAGAAAAGCTGTGTGAAAGTGAAGAGGCTGGAGTCATTGAAACAATCAAGAATAAAATTAAGAAGAATGTAAGTCGTGCGCCTTTAGATTATGGGCTGTGTACTACTTAAGAGTATCACTTGGGTTTCCATATTTAAAATAGCACTGAAAACAAACAGTAAATGTTCCCCGTGGCTTCTGGTTATGTGAAATGCCTCTCACAATGTCGTAGAAGTCCTTTCCCGTCATTAGAGCCATCTGTTGGTATTTTGGAGCCACCCTTTCTAGAGCTGGGGGTGTGATTGGTGTACTGGTAGAGCACTTGCCTAGCATGTGCAAGGCCCTGGGTTCAATCTCCAGTACTAGAAAAAGAAAGCAAGAATGATCTTCTTCCATAATGGGCTCCCATAACAAGGCTCTTCTAATGAGAGTTTCTTGTGTATAATTAAACATCACTGAGTGACAGCTGAGCAATAGAACACCTGCCTCTTGGCTGACTTGAAGAATTTAGCCAATGACCTCGTTTTCCCCAGGTCTCAAAAGCCTTGGATTATAAAGTCTCAGTTACACCATGATTCCCTTTCTGTATTTTGCCTTCCCCTTTCAGTTCAAAAGTTCCCAGTACAGAGGGGAACGCTTCCATCCTGACATTTCTTCCTTGTGATGTCCACCATGAGGAAGCCACTGACGCTCCACATGGGCCAGACTCGTTCTTGCCTCTTCCTCCTTTAAACCTACAGTCAGTGACCAGTCCCTGATGACTGTCTTTCTTAAATACCTCTTGAGTTTGTGGACTGCTCTCCATCCTCACTGTCATCTCCCTAGGTCATCCCCTTTATCTAAGATAGACTGGCACTCTGCCTCCGTCTCTCTACTCTCCCATTCAATCTCTATAATACAGTCAATAATATGTTGTTTACTTGATTTTCAGTGCCAGCTCCAGCCATGGCCTTTATAATAAAGTCTAAACCCCTAAGTATAGCTGGCATATGCCTCTGCATATTCTTCTCCCTCTTTATCAGGTTCCTTCTCTTAGTTCTTCCTTCATAGATAAGTTTTCCCCCCAAGAACGCCTGCCTGAGTCTCCGAACCCTGCTGAGTATGTCTCCTAAGATTCCTGTAGTTCCTTGTGCTTTAACCCTTCAGACCACTTTCTATGTTACATGGTGATAAGGTCTATATTTCCTCATTGACTGTAAACTATTTACATGTCTGTCCTCAATTTCTACTACTACACCTAGCATAAGTGTTAATAATTAACATTTGCAATGGCTGTTACAATTTATAAAGCATTTTCATATACTGCATCTCATTAGCCTTCTGGACAAACCTGCACAGTAGATGTTGCTATAAATAAAGAAACAGAAGCATTGATACACAGACATTTCCCCAAGCAATCAGAGTAATGAGTGCTGGGGCTTGACAGAGAATAGCAGAAATGATGATGGATTATGAAAATCTAGAAAAAGAGAGACATTATTATTGCTGGGTATATACGTGACTGCATGACCAATGTAATTCTGCAACCTGTACACTTAGAAAAATGAGAAATTATATCCTATCTGATTCAAATGTATGATATGTCAAGATCATTGTACTGTCATGTGTAACTACTTAAAACAAATTACAAAAAATTTCAAAAAAGAGAAACATGTCTTACTGTTATGTATACTATCTATTCTATTGACATATTTGCAAAATTCTATAATTTCTCATGTCACTTTGAAAGTTTCTTGGGGTTAAGAATGCAGAAATGTAAAGAAATGTTCTTTATGATAAAACCAGTTTTTTTAATGATTTTATTTTTTGCTTATTTTTACTTATATGGCCTAAATTTCAAGTATAATTTGAGATTTATTCAAAACTAATTTTAATTCCAGAGTATTTTTTCCTTAATGGAAATGTAATCAATTTCTAGCCCTTACATCTCAGTTGCATACACCAAAAGAATGTGCCCTAATATTAGTCCTAGCTGCAGATAAATGCTGTAAATTGACTTTTTGGGTTACTGACTTAGGGAATGTATTATATCTCTGATGATTTTAATTTTGGATAAATTAGAATTTACATTATCTTAAAAAAAATGAGCCTCTGAAGTTTTGCGTTGATGTTCATGTTTTCCATGAATTTAGATATTATCACTTAGAATATTTTTTTGAATCTAAAATGTTCTTTAGCACTATGTTGTTGGCAAAGCTCAACCTAATGGCAGTATGGAGCTTCCAAGCTTCTAGCATAAATTTGGTGTTGGCTTTGGGTGACTGCCACGTTTTACAACTCCAATGTGAATTATCTTGTAGCTTTAAGTAAGAGTTGTTTGGAGGGAGTATCGTTCATGTGTGTGATTTATTGGTTTGTACTTTCTTTCCACCAAACAGGTTGATGTCCGCAAATCCACTCCCTCTATGGTCGATCGGCTTCAAAGGCAGATTATCATAGCTGACTGTCAGGTGTATCTGGCTGTGCTTTCGTTTGTCAAACAAGAATTGTCAGGTATGCTGAAGCTTTCTTTTTAATGGCTTTTTGCTATTCAGCAGACAAAATCGGTAATACTTTTAAAAAAAATTTTGGAATACCTTGTATTTCAGTCTTTGAAAATATGTGGAGCCTCTTTGGGGCTTGATACTGATTTATTACTTGGGAAACTGAAACCACAAGTGCTTAATGTGTGTTGAGCAGAGTAATTTTAGTCCCAAAGTTTATGTTTCATCCCCTGTCTCAAGATGATTTTGTCTTACTTAGAGAAATTATTAAAAATTATTATTAAAAAGTTTTTAATGGACCTTTATTTTATTCATTTATTTATACATGGTGCTGAGAATTGAACCCAGTGCCTCACACATGTGAGGCAAGCATTCTCACTGAGCCACAACCCCAGCCCATGAATACCTTTTTTTTTTTTATGTAGATATACTACTTTTTCTTTGTGGAAATCAAGTTGTAATTGTCATCTTTAAAGTGAAATCTAACTGGTTTAAATTTAAGTTTTTCAGGAAATTGTAATTAAAAGCCCGAGCACCTTCAATGGTTTTAAGAATATTAGGAAATGATTAAAGATCGATCGTTAAATATTTTCTAATACACTTGAATGACCAGCATGGTAACAACTTTTAACAGGGGTTATCAACTGATTTCTTAATTAGTTTGTCCAAGACAAATGTTTTCTAGGCTTTAGTAGCTTTAATTTCTTAAGTGAAATAGACTCGATGAGTCTCTGATAGCTTGCTGTAAGAGTATGTCTAAAATTGACCTAATTCTTTCCCTACTGTGGTTCTGTGTCTCTTGGATCCTTGCAGCAGAAACCTGCCACTTTGGTAGACAGGATTTACTTGGCAAAAAATGAAAATTCAAAAAGAAAATTAGTTAAAATTCACAGTCAGAAAAATATTTTCTCCCCAAACTTGAATGAAGAAGGATGTGTCTGCTACATTATAAGTACATTTTTTCTTTCTAGACAACCAGAAACCAATATATCTCCCCCGCCTTTTTCTTCTCTTTCTTGCTCTCTTTACCTGTCTGTCTCATACTTGAAAATGTTTTGTTTCTGTTTGGCTCAAATTCAAAGTGGAATTTAACTCTTAATTTGGCCTCTAAAATTTGGGCTTCCTAGAATTTATCTTTGTTTTTTATTTTTTAAAATATGTCCTATGAGGCACTTGTACCATTTCTTTTGGTTCATTTCTTTTTCTTTAACCCTCTTCTCATGACTCTCTCAAGACCTTGTTTACGTGGTTGACAGCTCCTAGCTTGTGTTAATCTCCTTATAATGCAGTAAGGTAAAACCCCAATCAGCTCCACACTGATTTGGATATAAAAGAACGCAGAGCTTATCTGTCGCTCTTTGTTTAAGACAGGGACTCTGGGTTTTCTATGATTTTGTACATTATCTTTCTGATGCTCAAGAACTCTTCTAAGGAGCTAATTTTAGCCATTAAAATATATATATATATATAGATATATATATCTATATATATATATATATGCTCAGAGAGAAGGGTAGCCTGGTGTAAGGTCACATACCTGTTGTCCAATTCCTCAGGTAGCTGAGTGAGGCTGGAATGGATCACTTGAGTTAGAGAGAGGTAAAACCAACGCACACTTAAGTATAAAAATGTCAGAAGTTAAAAGTGATCATATCTGTCCTTCATTTGCTCATTCATTGATCATTCAGCAAATAAGTTACAGAGCTCATACTGTGTGATAAGCACAGACCATGGATCCTGCCCACGTGAAGTTACAGGCAGCAGATCATATTATTTATTTTTAAATTATTCTGATTATAACATTGATAATATTATTATAGAAAATTTTGAAAAAGTAAGTAAGTGCAAAAGAAAGCAAGCCATCATCTCTAACTACTCCCAAGGAATTATTCTTTATTGCAAATAATGGATTTTAAGTTTTCTGCTTTATAAAAAATAGAGACTTTTACAAAATTGAACCTGTATTATTTTGTATCTAACTTTTCCCTCTTAGATTATACTTTGAATATTTTTCTATGACTTAGTTTCATAATATAATTTTAAATAATAGCGTTATTAGTTTATTATAGGGATAGGCTATAGTTTACTCAATCAATTCTGTAGACATTTGAGCATTCTTATTTGTGTATTTTTTCTTATTAGTGAAGCTGAACCTATTTCTGTTTTAATCAATTCATTAATTTTTGTGATGCTGGTGGACATTTTGCTACTAAGCTACATCTCTACCCCCACCAATTCCTGTTTTTGGTGTGTGGTGCAGGAGATGGACCCAGGGCCACATTTGAGCTAGGCAAGTGCTCTACCACTTAGCCACACTCCAAGCCCTTCCATTCCATTCCCATTCCATTCTGTTTTCAGTTTGCCATCATAGCTTTTACACATTCCTCTAACAGTTTGATATGAAACAATTACTTAATCCCACTTACTATATATATGTAGCATCATTCTTGATGTTTTCTGAAGCCTTAGGTTTTATTAAATGTGATATTGGTATTGAAGTGAACTTCTCACAGGCTTAAGAGCCTTGGGTCCTAATAAATTTATGTAGTATCAGTTTGCTTTTTGAATAGTTCCACATTTGTTTCAAATAAGCAAATAAACATAACTAATATGTGTTTCTTTTACTTTTCAAACATCTGCAAATAATTTGTTGTTGGAATTCATTTTTTAGAAAACACTTTAGATAGATACTTTTCTAGAAGTATCTACCAGGAGTATGAGGGAGCACACCCGGTGGGCACACACTGAGCTCTGGGAGAAGATGAGTCAATGGTTGTTTTTAGTGCTTCATACTTTTTGAAGAGGGTTTATCTCATTTGAATTTCTTTATGACATATCGCCCCACCATCTCATCTTTCCTCATTTTCCCATGCTACTTTCTCTTTAGTTATTTTTTGATCCAAGAGCGTTTAATTTCTCTTTATTATACTATATTTATATTCTCTTTATTGCTTGTGTAATAAGGAATTATTTTCTAAACATATTTTGTGGCACTGGCCACCTGAGTTTATCATTGGTTCCCTTTATTTCCCATTGGATTTGAAGATAGGGCCCATATCTTATGTTCTTGGCATGATGAACACTCAGCCACTTTCCTTCCTTTTCTGGGAGAACTGAGAGTGAGTGATTTGGTCAAGGCTGAGTGATTTGCAGACCTTGTGAGTGATGACAGACTAGGACCAAAGCCATGGTTTTCTTATTTCATAACCAAATTCCTAGTGTTAATTAACATCTTTGCCCATCACGTCAATCTGGTTACTTGTGTCACCATGTAGCCTCAAACCCTGTGTTTCCCAAGGCATTTTCCTCCTATCTCCAATGTCCAGTGGCATGAGCCCCAGCGTAGAGTAAAGCCTACTGCCCCTTCACTCCCCTCTCCCTGCCACAGTCTCTGCCCAACCCCTGAGGCCACCTTCCTGACACATGTTACATCTGTACTGTAGACACTTAACTGTCCTGCACTGACCACAGGGTAGAGTCCAAGTCCCTTCCTTGAGTGGCATGTAAGAACTTGCCCGCTCCTAGGCTCCTGCTGCCCACTCTCACCTGGCTGAGCAGAGCTCCTTGCTTCCTCTCTGGGTCCCCTTGGCTGCTGCTGCTTGTCCATGCTGCCTCTCAGCCTGGAACACCTCTGCCCCTTCCTCCTTCTCTCTCACCCAGTCAAGTGCAGCCCAAGCCTTCCTCCTTCCTCATTGACTCCATCAGTCTGATTTTGTCCCTCTGCGTATACATAAATTACATAATCAATTACAGCAGTTATCACACAGCCATCCCCATTTTTTTACATGTCTGCTAAAATATGAAACTGTAAACTCCTTGAGAGCAGGGATTATGCTGGTCTCCCTACTGTTTTCCCTGTTTCCAACACACATGGAACTAGTAGAACACATCGGATGCTGCGTGAGGTGATGGGTGCTGATGCTTCAGAGATGAATGGGAGGCAGCCCTGGCCTTGAGGGAACCCATGATCTAGCAGGGGGAAATGATGGCTAAATAAATTCTATTTCAGGGAGATACCACAGCCAGCAGACCTTAGGTTAGTCTTAGAGATTGCTTGGGGAGTGCCATTCTGAACCTTTGGGGGGATCAAGAATCCCTGATTTTGTCCCTGCGCAGAATTAAGAAGAATCAAAGTTTATTTCCTTCTTGATGTCCCTGATACGTGCTTTGGTGCCTCTGCCTAGCGCATGGTGTGTGTCTGTTCAGAGAATTAAAGGGAGGAATGGCAGAGGGATGATGTCATTCAGAAAAGAAACTGGGAGTAGAAAAGCAAGTCGGATAGAAGTCTGTGGACTGGGGGTGAAGATAATGAGGCGGTGGGCTGACTGGTGAAAACAGTATCATGTTTTGTCCTCAGTGTCTGTCATTTGGGTCACCAGAGAGACAAGCCTATACTTACCATTTCTTATGGGGTTATCCAGTTTCGTCGTAGGACAAGTAAACAGATGGAATGTGGTGGATGGTGGGTGCTCTCATCAGATACCTTCCCCCTGCAAAAATTACAAAATTCATTCCAAATTAATTTAGCGCACCTTGACATTTTCGTTTCCCAGGCGACCCTTGCCCTTTCCCAGAAGAACTTCCACCTATGTCCTCTCCACAACTCCCCAGTGGATTGATGTCTAAATCTATTATCAGAGGGCAAATGGTGTTCCTGTCATCTCTGCCTTCTTCCATAGGCACAGAAGGATCACCATGGCTGAATGATTTATACTGACCTTTCAGAGGAGGCTTTGGAAGGCCACGCAGTGTGTGACTTTTGAATACGGTGTTGCCTGCATGTTGGGAAGCAGGTACTCACTGGCGTCATTGCTAAGTCTAGCTGACTACAGGCCTCTCCTGCAGAGCTGGATCATGCTGTGCTCTGGCTGAGATTCACTTAGCACCACCTTCTCCAAATGCGCCACAGTGTTTGGGACCAG